AAAAAAAGATCCTAACAACAGCCAGAATAGTAGACCTAGGACAAAGAAATGTAGAAGATGATGTGGTGACTACACCAAAGCCATATCGTAAAAAAAATATTACTGATATTGATGAAATTTGGAAGAAACTTCAAAAAAGAGCAAGAAAAAAAATATATAAAGTGACATTGTCAGGTAAAAATATCACTTTAAACAGATTACTGACCTTCCCTATGTTATTAGTAGTACCTAAGACTATTAAAAGTGAAATATTTAAGATCTAGTTTATTTTTCACAATTGTCCTGTTAATTATTACCTTTTGTAATTTTCTCACTTTTGAATGGACATAAAAGCGAGACTAGTAATAACTAGTCTATTTCACCGTCCATTTCATTTCCTGGTTCATAATATAATATTTGGGTTGTAAAGAATGGATCCTTTAATAGCTAACATAACTGTAGGATCTGAACATCACTCCAAGGGAATATTTATTTTTAAAATGTGTGTCCGTCCCCCCCATCCCCTGGACTAATTTTGTTTCATGGGAAATTTTCCAGACATCTTAGTTAAAGCTTGTTTCCCCAAAACTTAACATTTGGGGTGAAATTTGACTTAACTGTATCCCGTTAAGAACAAGGTTTAGAGAAGGTATGGAAGAATTGGATGAAGCCAGCATTTCCTCCACCTCATTCTCCTGATAACAGTCTCACCTCAAAACACCAGCACGGGTATCTAACTACTAACGAGATGGAAACTGCTAGGATGTGAGCTTCTACTATTCACATCTCAATCATGATCAGCTGGTGTCTAAGGTATTGAAGAGTATGTGTTTTACATTCAACAGGTATGTGTTTTACATTCAACAGGTAGAAACCATTCAAGAGTATGTGTTTTACATTCAACAGGTAGAAATCACTGGCCAACCACTGCAAACAGCTTGTTGGATGATAACAATGTGACTCTGATCCTGGGAGGGGAACAGAGAAACTACATTAAGATTAAATTTGGCTGTAATCATTCCCTTCCGAGGAAGCAACAGCCCTTTGTAATAAGGAGTAACTTTCACAGATGTGGAACCTGGGAATCTTGAATAGTTGATATAGAGACAAAGGGTTTGGTTAGTTAAAGATCTTGGTGAGATGGATGCTAAGACTTCATGAGAAAATTTGAAGTTCCTCTTCAGTGGTTATGATAATGAGCTTGTGATCTCAGCGAGAACCCTACTGAGTAAATCTAGTAAATGTGTCCAGCTCATTTGTATTGAGTTGCATAAACAAAAGACTGGCCAACAGAAATATCATGCGTAGGCCCCTCCCTTTCATTACACAGGAAATGAAACATTTAATCTCAACTCACTATGGACTCATTGCACACCCAAATTCCATCAAAATCTGAGCTTGTTGAGCAGGAAGCACTGGTTGATTTGAAACAATAGATATCACTGGGATGTAACTTTCAACTAACATTAGTTCCAATAAATACTGGAAGCCTCATTCTAGTCTTGAAGCCCACGATAAATTCATGTGAGATACACTTGTCCACATCTGATCATATCTTAACAAGAACCTGATGACCTCCAAAACACCAATCACATTGTCATGGGGTTTTATTCTATCTGTAAAAATAAAGACGAAAATGAAGATGCTGCTGGAAGGCTATTGTAAATACAAAACCTACATCCTGTGAATTACAGTAAAAGACTCATTTGTCAGGTTCTAACGAGGATTTTAATTATTGACAGCAAAAGTTTGTCTAGTATTTGTCTGGAAGCCATGAGGGATCGATTCACTAGATCAATTATATCTAATTACTTTGACTCGGTATAAAACTTAAGTATATTATTTGGGGAGACTTTAATTTAAATTGGTTATGGAACCCTAATAAGCCAATAGATACTTCACTAGACAGAATCAGATTTGTTTGAAATGCAAACATTATCTTAGTCAGCGCAGGCAGATAGATTAGATGAACCCCATGAGACCTTCTTCAACCTGACCGTCCATTAAATCATTATGTTCCACTTTATACAATGGATTTTGTGAATAGACCAAGAAGAATTAGAATATATTTTCTGTAGTTTTATTTGTCTAGGGAAATTCTCAGCAGATGCAGCTCCTGCTTTCTACCCAGTTTTCCAGCTGTATGGACTGAAGCTTTTGGTTCAAGTGACTTGCACAAGATCTCACAGAAAGTCTGTGTTTCAAGGCATGATCTTACGAAGTGCCAAATAACTTGGAAGAAGTGTTTGTGCCCTGAACTCCCGGTGATATTGATGGGAGTTGAGCTTGCTCAGAATATCACAGGACTGAACTTATTGGCAATCCTGCACCCACTGTGGGCACAGACCAGATGAACTTGTTGATGTCTTTCCACTTCTTGTTTCTGTCAGTCTCTAACATGTGGTTCCTACAGTTTAATAAAACTTTTATATGGTCCATTTTTTAATACTGGGCAAACTTAATTTGGAAAAGTGACAATAAAACTGTTGGGAAACTACACAAGTGAATAACTGAAACAGTTATTTGGAAACAAAAAAGACCATGTCTAATTTTATCAAATACCTAAATGTCAGGGGGGTTATACCTCTTATTTTTTGTTACTACAAACAATTTCCCTATTGTTTCACTCAGTACTTAAGTCCACCTAAATTACGTTGCTATTATTTAGTGCTATTCTGTTTTACCAGAGCAATTAAATAGAAAAAGAACCTAATCAAATTCAGAATGGTTCAGATGAAGTCCATCTGTTAAATCAAAAGAGGGCTGAAGTTACAAGTTTCAAACTCAAGACAAGATTAAACAGATTTATAGCAGGTTTCAAGCTAGTAATAAGGATGGATTGCTTTTACTCTAGTTAATTGGTTTAGATACAGTAGCTAGAATTATGAACAGATGTATCCTTAAGCTTTGAATATCACACTGATGCTTGGATTAGCACTGTTGGTATTAAGCCATACATTCTTTTTTAGATCTATATGATAGCTAAATAGAGAGAAAACAAACAAACAAAAAATCACAATAGTTGCACAGATATTCCACCCAATAATGCAGTGTGCTGTGTATCACGATTGTTAGTGCACTCTGCTCTACTAAATTAAAACTTAATAGATTAGATGTCTTGTTTAAGCCTGGTTATGAAAGATAAAAGATTAATCCTTACTTTGTATAGCTGAGTTGGCTCTTTAGAGGCAAGAGACATATTCACAGAGGTCTCCTTTATAAAAGAATTGTCTGCGGTCTACCAACTCTGTCTGTCACTGTGTTTAAGAAATCTGTCAGTACACACAATCTGAGATCTAAATATTAAACCATAAAACAAACGAAAATCTGAGGGGAAAAAAAAGGGGTTGGGGGATTTTTTGTTTTGTTTATTACAGATGCTCTTACGCAGAGAATTATCGCCCATGAGAGGGAAGAATGCTTCACAATATTGTTTCATGGAAAAGGGTGGTTTGAACGTTTACAAATGGCATCAATTGCTGTGAGAGAGAATTCTGGTACCTTTTCGAAGGGATATTGAAATCTATCCGACAGTAACTTGTGGAGCTCCCAGAAATCCTTGAGATCGGAATTTGTATCAGAATGTCTCACCAGAAAAACTTCAACTATGATCATTTTTGTGCTCTCTTTATTATTTATTAAGTGCCCAAAAGCATCATATTAATAGCCCTGATCCGGTGGGATGCTCAGCACCTCGCAGGACCAAGACCTCAGTGAACTGATTAAAAGCAAACTAGAAAAAAAATCATGCAAAAATACCTTTCTTGATAAAGCTGTTCCAGATTAACAGGTCTCCTAAAACAGGATACAACTGTCTAAACATCTGTTACCAGTGATTAGACAGAAAGAAGACATGATACCCAGAAATAATATGTTTCTTAGCTAGAAGATTTCTATTAATCCTGTTATCACTTTGCTATATTACTATAATATGTTAATATCATCCGTGAATCTGAGATGGTTCGTGTTGATTGCAGAAAATACTATCGAACGACAGAAAATGCTATGAGAACGCAACACAAAAAGCAGCCAAGTCGGACTGAAATTAACCGCTCCAAAACGAAATGTATGCGGTGTGATACCTTGCCAGAAGCCCAAATAACAATCAAGGGAGAACCAACAGAAGAAGTTGAGCAATATGTCTATTTGGGCCAAGAAATGAACATGCGCCACGATCAGGAAGGGGAACTCTCGCGAAGAAAGAAAGCAGGTTGGTGCGCATTCAGTTCTATCAAGGATGTTCTCCAAGGAAAAAAATCAACAAGGCAACATGCACCAGCCTCTTCAACTTAACAGTACTGCCAGCAATGTTGTACGGCAGCGAAACATAGGCGCTGACGAAGACAGAGGAGCAGCAACTGTCTGTCACAGACAGGGCGATGGAAAGAAGAATTCTGGGAATTTCAATCCTCGATCGAGTCCCCAATGAAGTGATCAGACAGCAGAGTGGAGTGCAGGACGTCGTCGTTGAGAGCAGGCATAGTAAAATGCGATGGGCCGGACACACAGCGAGGCTCACTGACAATCGATGGACTGCAGCTGTCGCCAAGTGGTACCCACGGGAACTGAAATGACCACTTGGCCGACCTCCAAAGAGATGGGAAGATTTTATCGTGAAAAGACATGGCCACACATGGAGAAGGAAGGCCAGGATATGAGAAGAATGGAAGACGTGTTGTGATCGGCATAATCTATACGAGGGCTGAAGAACCGATCGATCAAGACGATCAAGGTGACATTAAACTATTAATCCTGTATATGCTAATGGGCATTTTATCTTGTTAATATGCTTGAAAGGGGGAGAGTCTCTATACAGAGTGGTCTGAACTTTCAGAAGATTAGTTTATACACAGGGATAAAATCCTGGCTCTGCTGAAGTGCATGGAATTTTTCCAATTATTGGGCCAGGATTTAACCCCAACCTTTTGATTCCAAATATAGCAGGGTTGACTATATACTATAAAATACAGGGGGAAAATACTTAACAAGTTTCAACACAATAAAACTCATAACATAAATACCTTATCAATGGCTTTTCCGACTCGGGAAACGCTGCTGTGAATGTCTTTATGATCTGAGGCCAATTTCTGAACTGTGTCTTTTATTCTTTTACAGCACTGTGTCATAACAAGGGAAATTGTCCCTGACAAGGCTCCATCTTGGTCTAGGCAGAAGACAAGAAAATTAATTACAAACTTTATTATAAACAAATGATAATGCTAAATCCTTCCCAAATAGGTGAAGATGATAAAAGGTGAAAATGGTACTGGAAGAGTGAAGAGCTCTGAAAAAACCAAAGTCAAAAGCCAATCTAGAAAGTGTAGGCAAAGGAACATCAGCTAAACACAGTTTTTAAAAAAATAAAACCTATAGGATATGGGACAACTTCATTAAGATGCCAGTCCCGGTTTTGCTATGGCAGGTACAAATTCTCCTGAATGGAATAACAGTTTTTTAAATTGATGAATTCAAGGTTAATGATAAATAGGACTTTCTAGTGCCTTTCACCAAAGGATCTCAAAGCACTAACATTAAACCAAACTTCCTCACAGAATGTACTGGGGTATCATTTCTACCCTCACTGTAGGATCAGCTTTCATTTGTGCAGTTCTTTTGAGGATGTACTAGTGCTAGGCATTACATTATTGCGTGCCTGCACACACAGAGTCCAGGATTAGAACCTAAGAGCCCAATTCATTATTGCCCTGCACCTTATATAGCTATTTACACCAGTGCAAAGTGAGTGCCAAGTGCTACCACTCTGATTTGGTAGCATATTATATTCAAAACAAAGTGCAAAGCAATACAATTCGGGTTCTAAATCTTCTAACTCACAATCCCATGTCTAAATAATTAAACCAACAGGTCTCAAACACTGATTCAAAGAGCAGAGTTGGGCCATAGAGCACTTGCTGGTGGTCCACAAAGAGCTGGCTCGTCACATTGTGCTGGATTTCCTCATTTCCAGTTACTAAATCACATGTGACAGCTAAAAATACATTGTTCCTTTCCAGATATTCCATTGCATCAGTTTCAATAGTTGCCACAGGAATGTTATGGGATCACCAGTGGGAGGGGAGGAGGCACACTATGTATAAAATAATAAATATGAAAATGTTTGAGAACCCCTAAACTTAATCCCAGTATCTCCCAGGCAACTCACACTGTCTATGCCTCAGTTTTCCTATGGGTTAAATAGTCACAGTTGGAGAAATGGACTTTTTCTCTTCAGTGTTCTGCTTCAGTCCCACTTTCGGATCCCAGATTCAGGAATACTTTCTCCTCCAGTCTTGTTTCAGAACCTATTGCTGATGAGAGGATTTTTCTCATCACTGCTTCCGCCCAGATCATTCTACGAGTTACATCGTTCAATCAGGCACACACTCAAGTCTGTGTTAAAATATCCCTCAGGTAGCGTACACAGTGATGGTTGAAGTAAACAACCAGTCCAAGAATGGTTTTCTTAACAGCCCTAGCTATAAATCCTTCCCATGAGAAATATTTAAAAGGATGAGATCCTAATAGTTCCACAACATTTAATAAAACAAGGTTCAAAAACCAACCCCTAATCTTAATCGCTATTCTTTTCTCATTCTGTGTCTTGAATTACTGTTGGTTGGAGCAGAGTGTTGCACAGTCAGTTTCTCTTCTGATATTTCAGGCATTACAACATGTGTAATAAACTGCCATCACAGGAGTTGCAAGTGTGGGGAGAGGAGAAACAAAATGTAAGTACCATAATGTATAGCCCCTAACTTCATGCCTTACATTCTCTTACAAGCTGTGTGAAGGAAATCAAAGAAGTCTCACAACTGAAGAAGTGTAGCTGCAATCAGAGGGACTAGGTACAAACTTACAGTTCCTTATTCCACACGCCTGCTTTGAGGTACCTCAACCATATCTGCCTATTTTACTGACAAAGCAATATTTTTCTGCCATGAGCACCACAGAGCCAATACAGCTCCAAAAAAGCAAGCCCCCATTCTGTCTCATGAATTACCAAGATTGCGTGCTAAGTTCTAGTTGCAGAATCTTTACTAATAGCAATGTTTAAGGTTGCATGTTTGCTACAGCCATAACAATCACGTTTCTCCTTTAGGTGCTCTTCATAAAGCCATGGTCTTTGTCACCAAGGCAAAGAACTACTAATACTCCATATTCTTCCTAAAAAATGAATATGGAGTAACAGCAGGGAGCCAGTCTCCTCTACCAAATGTTACATATTTGGCTCTGTGCACACAAAGCAGGGAACATGTTTATTGGAATGGCTTTGAACTATTAGATAAATCTTATTGTTTTAATAGCTGTTATTGTAAAGTAAGGGATATTTGACTTTTCAGTAAAATATTGTATGTCATGACTTAAAAAAACCAACCCCATCTGGCATAAAATCATGACTTTTGCCACGAGAAACCACCAGCCTTAGAGATTATATATGAGGCAGAAAGAAATCATTCCACTCATCAATATTTCCTTATCAACATTCACTAAGATCAGACCAGATGGCTAGAATAGTCCATTCTGGCCTTAAAATTTATTAATCTGAAATTAAAAGGATGATGTCAACTTGAAAGCTGCTCAATTTTTTTAAAAAAGTTAAAGTAGTTTCAGGTATTATACTACACCTGTCCACCGATTTCTCTCCCCCACCAATTATTGTAGTTTCACAATTTCCCTAATTAAAAAAAAATCCCTCTTCTGTTGTGTGAAAAAACCCACACAACAAGTGGAAACTGATTATAGAGAAACAAGGACAATCTTTACACAGAAAAGGCTGTCAACCGCACAAAGGAAAGACAGAAGAAAAAATATTTTTCCCCTCTCAAATCTTTCCGTTACAGTAACACCTGAGATAACTTGAAACAAATAATGGGTTTTAAAAAAAAAAAAAAAAATTTCAGACAGAAATTGGAGTTCTTTTAATAATGCAATGTTCATGGACAGCAACAGTCTGACACTGTTATCACATCATCATGTGTGTATAATTATGATTTGGGATACGAGAATACACACATTACTGATCATGCACCATGACAGAGAGAGAAAGTCAAAATCAAGTTTTCTACCAATACATTCATACCACACAAAAAGAACAGGCATAGTTATTGCAACTATTGTAGTATGCTGCAATACACGGTGGGACAGTGGTTCTCAACCAAGAGGTACGCATACTCCTGGGGGGTACATCAACTTATCTAGATATTTACCTCGTTTTACAACAAGTACTAGCGAAGCCAGTACCAGGATGGATAAAAGTCAATGATTTTTTTTAAAAAAATCAGATTTTTTTAAATTTAAATCGGATTTTTTTGATAAAATGCTTTTTGAGGAAAAAAACCTATCTAAAGATAGTTTTAATTAAGATACATTATAGCTCAAAGATATCTCATCACAGAATAGGGATTATAAATTCTAATTCTATACTATGAGACAATATATTCATGTAATGTTTAAGAAAAGTTTTGTAAATTAGTTCCAATAGTTCATGGATTAGGGACCCAATTTTATGGGATTCCACAGGCTTTTGTATAGATTATTTAGGTTTATCTTTCTATTTACCCAATGGGACTCAGTGCTCAGTCTAGAAGATACCATCAGAGATGCTTAGTTTTGCAGTTCACAAACTGTGGATTTGTGTCTCCAGAGGTAACATGCTTGTTAACAGGAAAAATGTTTTTAAATAAATAAATAATATATAGAGGTGAGACATAACAGACCTCAACTCTATTGTCCCTCTGCAAATTTGTGTTCACAGAGTCAATCCCTTACCTCTCTCTAAAAGTGCAAAGCTTCAAAAAGTTCAATGAATAGAAGATTGCTGGGGGCGGAATAGATCTGGACGAGGAGAAGAAGTCTGGAGATAAATGTGAGAAAGGAGGGACATATGCTTGTTTTGTTAAAATATTATATGTTTGCTGTTGAAGAAAAAAATCCAGACTACTTAAAGTTGTTGTTTTAGTTAAATAAAACAATTTAAATGTCTGTCTGGTGATGTTCTCCTCCTAATACAGCATCGCAAGAAACTCCTCCAAATATTAATGATTAACCTGTTGAATTGGAAATAGTTCACCTCCCAATGACTTCATAAATATCTGCTTCAATTACCTTTGGTAAATGAAATAACCAATCATTCATTTTCTGATGTAGCTGTAAAACTAATCTGAAAAGTTTTCAAAATAAATCACTGTTTAAAAATGTACAGTGTGTACCTTCTAAAAATGAAACCTACATCTATCTCTGAGTTGTGAAGAATATGTATTACGGTTATAACAACCAACAAGAATGCACTTTTATGTAGAAAACCATGATTGAATCAAGTCTTCCTGAGTAGTGATTTAAATCAATTTGATTTAAATCAAATCCACCCTGGACTCAGTACAAACTAAAATTTCATGCAATAACTTGTTTATACTGCTGTATATACTATACATTGAAATGTAGGTACAATATTTATATTCCAATTGATTATAATTACATGGTAAAAATGAGAAAGTAAGCAATAAGATAAATTACTAACAACAAGAACAAAGCTTGAACACTTTGTTCTATTTTAAAAAAGTTACAAATCACTAGTGAAAATTAAATTGGAAATTTTGCTATCCAAAAAGGTAGCTTTATAACGTCCCCAAACTGTCTGAAGCTGCACAGTAAACACCCCTTACTTTATTTCAGAGTGTTTACTAAGCAATCGCAATATTCACATTCACATTGCTCATTCATTAGGTACCAACAACATATATGGCCCTTTACAAGATATGAAAAAAGATAGCACCAGCCTTGCTAAAGGTCTAGAAAAGAAGCACAGCGGGGACACAGTCACAAGAGAGTAAAGGCAGACAAGAGTGTTTTGTTTTTTTAACAGATAAGAGGCTTGGATCCCGCAAAGGGATCCTTGTAGGCTGATCTTTCCGGCTAAGCAGAACCCCACTGAGGTCAATGAGACCCTCTGCAAGCAGAAGGATCATACCACACAACTCTCCTTGCAGGATAAGAGTCTCAATTTTTAAGATGTATATTTTATTGACTGTCTTTAACATATCATTATTGTCGGTGTGTTTCAAGGTACCGGAGCGCTTGGTCCTACAGCTCATATTACCCGACGTGGAGAGAATTTTGAGCCCTGACCAAGCCGGCTTTCACCGAGGCCATAGCAAATGCGACCAAGTACTCGTGCTGACCACATTTGTTGAAAATGGCTTCCAGAAAAACCTGAAAACGGGCGCTGTTTTCATCGATCTAACAACGGTGTACAATACGGTATGGCACACTGGCCTGCTCGTGAAGGTATCACGGGTCCTGCTACCTTGGGTCATAGGCGTCGTTGAACTGTTCCTCCATGATAGGCAATTCAGAGTCCATATGGGGGAGAAGACGAGTGCTTGGAGATGACAGAACAATGGGTTACCCCAGGGCTCTGTGCTTTCTCCAATCCTGTTCAACCTTTACATCAACGACCTGCCAACAACAGAGTCACAAAAGTTCATTTACGCAGACGACATCTGTTTCGGTACCCAGGCCCGGACATTTCACGAGCTTGATGCCATCTTAAACCGGGACATGATAAAGTTAGCTGACTACTATAAGACTTGGCACCTCCAGCCAAGCATCATAAAAACAGTCTCCACTTTGTTCCATCTTCATCACACCAGCACAACCTGAAAACTGAATGTTTATCTGAATGGTCAGAAGGTGAAGCACAAAGTAGAACCGTTCTATCTAGGTGTGACCTTAGACCACACACTGAGTTACCATGCCCACATGAAGAAGACAGCAGCTAAAGTTAAGAGGCGCAACAATCTTCTTAGCAAATTGTCAGGTTCATCATGGGGTGCTTGTGCTCCAACTTTGCGGACGTCAGCTCTTGCCACCTCGAATTCGGTGGCAGAGTGCTGCGCGCTAGTTTGGAGTCGATCGTCACACACCAAACTGCTGGATACACAGTTCCATGTTGCCATGCGTATCATCTCTGCCACCACGCGTCCGACTCCACTCCCATGGCTCCCAGTTCTGAGCAATAATGCTCTTCCTCATATCAGACGAGAGGTTGCCACTGGCCGGTTACTGGAGAAAGTACGCGCCAACTCAAGCCTGCCGCTGCACAACCACCTTTTTAAACCACCAGCTGCACGTCTGCTGTCACGTCACCCATTATGGTCTCATCTGCCTCACCAGGATGTTAGGGCGGTAACACTCTGGCAAGAGGAATGGATATCTGTTATAATTCCCCAACCAGTCCCTCGTCGCCGACCCCACAATTTGCCAGCCTGGTTTTGACCTGCCCCGGCGCCAATGGTTGAATAGGTTCCGGATCGGGCACGGTCTCTGTGCAGCCAACCAGTATCACTGGGGCCTTTGTGACAGCCCTTTGTGCAGCTGCGGCACAACACAGCCGATGACGCACACTGTTGATGAATGCCTGCTGACTAGGTTCAGCGGTGGCCTAGAAGAACGGCATCACACCACTGAAGATGCCATCGCTTGGCTAGACGACTATGCACACGCTAAATAATAAATAAACATACAAAGTGCTGGCCACTTAGTCAAACCGTTTTGTACGACAAAAAATTTCTTTGAATTGTGGACCAATAAAGGAGGGTGCAGAAGGAACAGATTTAATTTAATTGTTACCTGCCTGGACAACTTGAAAAAAATATGAGAGACTATTTAAAACGTGCTTCCGAAGAGGAAGATTCTCTAAAGAATTAATTACTGGTAGATAATGCCACTAGGAATTTCTGATCCACCAACCCTTGAAAAAATCTGCAGCTGGAACAAGTTTTGGCAGAGGATTAACAGCTGTTCAAGAACTTCTCACAGAATGAAGACTCTACTGCCTATATTGGACTGGACTTCTACAAATACCTAAATTGTAAGATCATCAGAACAGGGCCTGACTCTATAGTCTCTCTACAAACTGCCATATATAAATAACAGCCCTGATCCTGCCAACATCTAACTTTACTCACATGAGTAATCTCACTGACATCAACGCAACTAAAGTCATGCAGCTGCATTTGCACAGGACTAGAACAAACAAATACAACTCTTGGAACTAAACAAAAGTGGATTCTCGAGCACAGCAACAGTAAATACAGGACTGGGAGCCAGGAACGCCCAGATTCTAATCCCATATCTATCACTCACTTCCTCTATGGAACTGGGTAAATCACATGATTTGTCTCACCACTGCCTCCCATTACATGTATAAATACTGAGTTATTTACCTCTCAGGGATTTTGCAAGGTTTACATGGTTCATGTTTATAAAAGCTGCTATGGTGTATGACACTCTGAAAGTGCTAAATATTATTTGCAAATATAATACTTAGGGGGCTATGTTTATCTTCATCTGAAGCCCCATTAAATCTAGCCCAGAAAATCCAATAAACCTGTTGTTTATGTCACCCAGCCTGGCTTTTATGACTGCTCTTTCAATAGCAGTGACTAATCCCATTATTACTCAATGCAAAGGAATAAAGATATAAACATATTGACCAATATAAAGATGCCACAGCAGAATCTCCTAACCAGGAATAAATGTTTCTATTCATTAAAGAATAAGTAGGCGTACCCAAAATTGACCAATGCCTGTCCCAACTCAACACCCCACAACCAGAAGTGCTAACGTCCTCCAGCACCCAAATAAGGCTCTGTTTATGCTATGGTTAGAACCACGGTAGCAACAAAGGTGTTTAAGTTCAGAGGGTAGCAGAGATCTGCACCGTTTCCCTGAATGAGCATGAAGAAGGATTGCTTCTTTCTTTTAACTGGTCAGGGAAACAGAAAAATGCCCCTGTCCTTGCAGTATGCAGAAGTTGGTCTAATAAAAGATATTACCTCACCCACCTTGTCTCCCTGTCCTAGCACACAGGTCAGGAAAACCCTGCTAGAACCCCACACTACTACTAGCAACAATGGTTGTTGCATGTTGTTAACTATAAGGTGTGGACGGGGTCTAAATTTAAACATGGTTGTAACCTCTTCACTAAATTGCTGTGACTCACCTTTCCCCCTACAAGGGCATTCAATACCATCTCAGAAACTGTAAACAAAGGCTTGTTTCCCTTTACGAAAACTGCATAGGCATGGGAAAGGAAGAAAAGGAACTAAGGAAGTTTGTCTAAAACCAGTTTCCTTTAACTTTTACATGTTTTGACTGGCTGGGAATTTTCCCCCTTTTACACTCTGCTTATGAAATCACTATTTCATTTTCCTTGAGTGCTTAAAAATCACAGCATCTGAAAAAGCCATGGGCCCTTTCAAAGTGGCAGGGACAGGCTGGGGGTGATGAGGCCAGGAAGTGGGGGGAGGAGGAGGAGGGAGACACCGCAGCCCCGGGGAGTTGTTCCAAACGGGGAAGGGGCGATGGTGGTAGTAGTGGTGGTGAAGGGGGCCGCTGGCGCCGGGGAAAGGGGGCCCAAGGAGAAGTTAGACCGGGACATTTGGGAGGTGGAGGGGGGAGAAGCCAGGGGCTCCGGGTCTCGGGGGGGGAGGGAGCCTCCTGCGGACACAGAGAAAGTGGACCCCCAGGGTTTCTTACAGTTACGGCTGGGGAAGGGGTCCGAAGAGAACCGGGATCGGGGGGTCGTTCGGGCGAGTGGCCGAGAAGCCGGGATCGGGAGGAGGGGCAGATGGGGGA